AGAAGTTTATTTTATATATATAAATATAAATAAAATTTTTAAATTTTAAAAAAATTTTATAATTACTAATTTTTTTAGATATAAGTATTATTAATTTTACTATATAAAATTATTAATTTTTATATAATAAACTAATTTAAATAAGTAATTTTCTTTTTACTAAAATTTTTTTATATAATAATCATAGTTAAAATTTTGCAAGTTTATATATTAAGATTATATTAAGATATTTGTATAATATTACAAAAAATACTTAATTATAATTAGTTAATTTAGAAATATATTAAAAAATTTTAATTTTTTAATTTTTTTTAAAAAAATTAACTATTTTTAAGATTTATTTAAATAATTTGTAATCAAAATTAATTTAATTTTTTTATAAATATATTTTATAAATTAATACATTTATTTAATTATAAATTAATATGTAAAATTTTTTGTAATTACATTTTAATTAATAGTTATTAGGTAGAATGTAGATGATATTAGGTTAGCGTTATTTAGCAGCTATTTGTTAACTCAGATTATGCCACTTCGCAGCATGATCTAAGTTAACAAATAGCTGCTAAATGATGCTAATCCAATATCACCTACATTCTATCTGATAACGATATTATCTGGAAGTGTTCATTGATCATGTTACCCATATTAATTATGTAATAAATTTTAGACTAAAATGATGATATAATTTCAAAATAAAATAAATAAATCTTTTCGCTTCTTTTAAAAATGCCAAAAGCTAATAAATCAACATTATTAAATGAATCTGAGAATTGTATTTCTTTTTTTATTGATTAAGCTACTGTTAAGAATACAAAACATTCTACTACCAACTAGTTAAAAAAATTTAATGATCATTGCAAAGAATATGTATTGAGTAGTAATATTGATGTTATTTTAGATCAAAAACAGCTTGAATCAAATTTGGTACACTTTTTTTCTTATGCAAAACATGCTGATAAAGAAGAATACACTGTGAATTCAGTTTATCAGCAATAGCCACTTTTCAACATTATATTACTGAAAAATCACCATTGAAAGGAATTAATCTTTGTAATAAGCAGCAATTTCCAACTCTTAATATATTTCTAAATAGAAAGATTAAATAGCTTAGCACTAAAGACAAAAGTGAAACAAAGAGCTCTGAATTTCTTACTCTTGATGAATGTCTTCATATTTTAAAACATAACTGTACATCTCCAGATACACCATAGGGATTATTTAATCGAGTTTTTTTCTTTAATGCATTATTCATTGCTTTAAGAGAAGGCAAACATTATTTTCTTGAAAAGGATCATTTTCAAAAATGTCAAGATGAAGGTTATAATATTGTGATTTATAAATCTAAAACCAATTAACATGGAATTGATAATTCAGAACAAGCTGATAAAATATCTATTCCAAATTTAGAACATATTAATAATATATATAACAAGTACTTTTTAAAACGATCTAATGATGCTAGTCCACATTTTTATCTACAAGCTATTGATGGAAATCCTGAAGGTAATTTAAATTCTTATACCATTTATTATTATATACTATTGAATTATATGTTTTATTTTTAAGATATTTTAGACAAACCAATTTGGTATAAAGATAAACATGTTGGAAAAAAAAGGCTTGGAACATATTTTTGTTACATCGTAATTGCATCTGAAATTGATATATCTAATCATAGAATAACAAATCAAAGTGGATGTAAAACAGCAATTTAATTATTAAAATCATTTGGAGCTAGTGATTATGAATGTATAGCAATCACTCGGCATAAGTCTCAAACAGGTTTTCAACAATATAAAAGACCTAAAAATAATATTCAAATAAATAAACTTGAAGATCTTTCTAGAATGATTATGCTAGATGCAAATTATAATAATTCACAAGGTTTAAATTATTTATTTTTATTTATATAAATTCTAGTGCTATTTTAATAATCTTTATTTATTTGTATAGATCAAGTTAATCCATTACTTACTAAAAAAGCAATACTTACAACATCTACTGCTACTACTATGCAAGCAACTAGTGCAATACCAACTTTTCATACTGCTAAAAAAATATTGCAAGGTATAATTTATTAATATTAGTATAAATATTTTAATTTAATTATTTATGTTTAGTAATCGAATTTTAGATTCTCAACTTAATAATATCGAAAGTGTTACTTTATCTACTGAATCTTCATATGAATCATTTAAAAAATTTAATAAATTATTTCAAGGAACTATCTATAATAATTCTAATGTTACATATTATATTCACCACTATCATTATTACAATACATCACCTTCTCAATATATTTAAATTTTTCTTAATTTGCTATTTGCATTTTAATTTGCTATTTGTATTTCAATAGTTTGTTACTTGCATTTTCATATTAATGTAACTGCTATAGCTAAAGCAAAAATTGAATTAAAATTATAATCTCTGCTTATTATATTAATTTTGAACTTAATAAAAATTAATATACTGTGATATAGTATTAATATGGGTAACATGATCAATAGTAACTACCAGATAATTCAAATATATCAGATCAGTGTATCATGTTTAATGAGATTACTAATATAAATAAATATAATATAATAAAATAAGTATTTGCATAAAAAAACACATTTTTATCTGTTTCTTCTTTTGATTTTGATATTAATAAACTAACTTTATTTTTAAAAATTTAAATATTTGCTTTTATAAATTCTATTTTTTTAAAAAATCACAAAAAGGGATGTGGCGACCTAGTGAAGTAGATAGGTTGTTAACCCCCAAGTGGCAGGTCTAGAGTTCAAATCTCAGTGACAGTGAAAATTTGCAATTCTTTCTGTGTTATGG